GACGCGAATAGTTCGTTGCTCGTTTGGGGAAAAGAGAGAAAAAAGCCAAGAAATTAAAAGGGAAATGTTTACAGAAAAAGTACTCAACATCATGTAAATCTGAAAAGGGAGACAGCAAGACAACAAAAGGAAAAACAAGAAAACAAAGAAATAACCACACAGACGCAAAACGTGTGTGTGTGTGTGTGTGTGTGTGTGTGTGTGTGTGTGTGTGTGTGTGTGTGTGTGTGTGTGTGTGTGTGTGTGTGTGTGTGTGTGTGTGTGTGTGTGTGTGTGTGTGTGTGTGTGTGTGTGTGTGTGTTGTGGATATATGGACAGACATATACACATATAGATATATAGATATAATATATAGATATATGGACATATGGATGGATGGATGGATGATAAGTACATTCATACATGCCTTTAATTATATATATAATACACAAAGAGGTCTTGAGTCAGCGCGTGAACCCGGGATCGGAGACGGACAGATGGGCAGGGATGGAAGGCACAGCGAGGGCAGATGTAAAGAGGGATAGGAGTGAGACGGGAGATAAGGCGGTGGGACAGGTGTGATGCCGAGGGAGGGAGGGAGGGAGGGAGGGAAGGAGGGAGGGTGAGAGAAAGAGAGGGAGGGATGGAAGATGGGATGGAGGGAAGGAGGGAGGAAGAAAGAGAGAGAGGGATGAAAGAAATGGAGGGAGTTAGGGAGAAAGATAGAGAGGTAGAAAGAGGGGGAGGGAGAGAGAGAGATAGAGGGAGAAAGAGAAGGAGGCTAGGAGGGAAGGGAGGAGAGAGAAAAAAGACAAAGGAAGCGAAGAGAGAGAGAGAGGTCAAAGGAGCCATTTAACATCCCTAATAACACGATTGACTCTCAACAACATTATTATGGAAATGACAAGGAGCGCAATAAAGCCGAGATGCCAACGCGAGATATAAAAAAAATCATCAGGATTACAGACCTCATTAATCCCCATCTATGTCATCATTGCGTCATCATTACGGTGAGATAGAGATAAATGTGGCAATGGTAATGGTAATGGAAATGGTCACGTGAATCACACTCGTAATAGTGATCGAGAATAATGGGAATGATGGCTGAAATAGTGAAAATAATAAACACAACAATGTTGATGATAACAGTCATAATAATGATGATAATCAACTGATAATAATAATATAATAATAAATAAATAATAATAATAATAATAATAATAATAATACGAAGAAGAAGAACATTAAGAAAGAAAAGGAATAACGATAATGATAATAACAAGACGAAAAAGAAGAAAATAAACAATAGTAACAATAACCATAACAATAACATTGACAGCCGTAGCGCTAGAGCAAAAGGAAGCAAGAAGCCAGCAGGCGAGGAGCAGGAGGGAGCCCCGCGCCCCGCCAGGAGAGAAGACGCGTCGCACTCACTCATGTTGGTGTCCATGGGCTCGTCCTTGGGCTTCCGCTTTCTGGGCCTGCCCTTGTGGTGCGCGCCCACGCCGTTGAAGAAGGGGATCTTGCCGCCGTGGTCGGGGGGCGGGAACCCCTGCATCACCTCAGGGGGGAGGTGGGGGTGCACGCCGTGGGGGCCGTGGGGGCCGTGAGGGGGGGGCCGCCCGGCAAAGCCCCCGGAGGCATCCCCATGGGCGTGATGTAGCCGCCCTCCAGTGAGGTGGACATCTGCAAGGAGGAGAACGGCCTTTGAGGACGAGGTCTACTAAGGGGAAAATCGTTATCGTTATGATATAATACATAAGTACACGTGTGTGAGAAGAGAGAGAAAGAGGAGAGAAGAGAGAGAGAGAGAGAGAGAGGAGAGAGAGAGAGAGAGAGAGAGAGAGAGAGAGAGAGAGAGAGAGAGAGAGAGAGAGAGAGAGAGAGAAGAGATGAGAGAGACAAACAGACAGACAGAGAGAGTCTTATGCGTGAATGCGAGTGTCTCAAGCTGCCAATCAGTTAATTTTACACACCAATCCCTCTCTTAACGAAGGCTATTCCAGTCAAAACCTGGGAGCGCGGAAGTCGTGTCTCGTAAACATACATACAACAAGAATCGTCTTTCCCGTCATTAAGGTATGCCAAACACCACACAAACACACACACGGGGGGAAAAGATTAGGGATTTTAACGTCAGTCCATCAACAAATATTTTAATCCCATCACATCAATTCCATCACGTATGTTCTCTCTTTCTGGCATGTTAGTCGTTCTCTCTTTCTCTTCTGCTTTCTCTCTCTCTCGTTTCCTAATCTTAATCTCCAGTGTATTTTTTCAGTCTCTTGCTCTCTAATAATTATCTGATCCTATCTATCATATCTATTCTTTCCTTCTTTCTTTCTGTCTTCTTTCTTCTTCTTGATCTAACTTCTTCTCTTTGCTCTTTTGGTCTGGCTTCTCTTTCTTCTTGTTGTAATGTTTCTTTCTGTGCTTCTTTAAATCTCTCTATCTCTCTCTCTCTCTCTCTCTCTCTGCTCTTCATACCTCGTCATTCAGTCATTGCTCTCATACACACAATCTAGTATAGTATATCCATCTATTTAAGTGTGTAAATGTCAGCAAAATGAGAATGGACCCACGAAAAATCTTTCAAAAATATATACATCATAAAAGATATTTGAATAGTTGTATTGGTAAACAGCCAGGCACACGGCTAGTCAGACTCAGTTACTCAGACACGCATATAAACAGTATACAGAGTATAATTAAGTATTTGCATGTGTAATTGACTAGTCACTCACCTGGTAATGATCTCGGCAGTAAATGAGGGGTCCATTCATGCCGAAGTGGTCTCCCTTGGTGAGCTGGACGCTGCAGTGGGCCAGGTGAGCACTGGACGTGATCACACGACTCCTCGCTCTCATCACCAGTTCAGAACTACTCTGACCTGGGAAATCTGCGCATCGTCTCATGCTGAACAACCTGCGGGGAAAAAGGGATGGAAAAGGATTAGGATAGTTTGGCCTTGTATATGGTGTGTCGTTCCTTCTATTCCTCTGAGGGATTTGTGGTTTTTCTTTCGGGGAAGAAATGGCTCACATAAAACGCGCGCAGGTGTTGGGAAGACAGATGCAGGGAGAGGCCCACACCTGGCTCGTGCACCTAAGGAGGGGCGGGGAGTTTTTTGGGTAGAGGAAAACCTCCTAATTCGGCCATTAAGTTGTCATAGTCTATATCATTTCCACGGCTTCGAAAATACACCCATTGGGCAAACCCGCTAAACCACATGGCTACGACATTTTTGAGAGAAAATTGTCCAGGCTGCGATCCGACCAATCAAGGCGGGGTTAGCTGTCATGTGACCCCGCCTCCTATCACATGATTGGCTGATAACATCGTAGGGGGTATGGTCGGTTGCTCACTTTTTAAGACAAGGTTTCTGAATGAATATTAGTACCGCGACTGGATCGTCCGGAAATTGACATGTGAATTTTAAAATACGCTATCTTACGTGGATTGATGGATCATCCTTCACAAGCCCAAATGTCGATTGTCCTGCATCTGGCATCCCCGACCCATCGAGAGGGACTGTCAAACACGAATTGACAATCCTCATTACCGATGTGTATATCGAGGGAGCGCGCATATAAAACACAACGTCTCCGCTAACTCAGTCAATATAATTTTTTAAGACTGCAGAACCAAGAACCGAAAGGAGAACCAGATCGAGGTGGTCCGTCTTCGTATAAATAATGAATGTACGAACGAACGAAATCAAGAATACAGGTGTTAGTTAGTGCTGCATAAAGACGGGTGGTGCAGGTGTGAGTTTCTCCTGACCGACAGGTGTTGGTGTCACAGTGAGTTGTCGCCTGAGTCGTCACCTCTCGTCGCCGCTTATCTAACAATGTGCTGAGAGGGGTGGGCGGACGGGAGAGAGAGAGAGAGAGAGAGAGAAAGAGGAGATGAGAGAGAGAGAGAGAGAGAGAGAGAGAGAGAGAGAGAGAGAGAGAGAGAGAGAGAGGGAGAGAGGGAGAGAGAGAGAGGAGAGAGAGAGAAGAGAGAAGAGAGAGAGGAAGAGAGAGAGGAGAGAGAGAGAGAGAGAGAGAGAGAGAGAGAGAGGGACCGGGGGGGGGCTCGTTGGTTCAAGTTCTGTAACACTTCGCTGCCCCCGACATATCAATCTAATATGATAAAAAAAAAATGGTTATTATCTAGGTGGATTCAAAGATTCAAATCTCGAAAAGTCGTTTGGATAAACAGGGAAAATGTATGAAGTTTGGGAAGGGTATTAACATTTGCAGTTACAAAAAAAAAAAAAAAAAAAAAAAATTCCGTTAGTCTCCACTACCCCCCCTCCCCTCGCCTCTCTTCTCTCTCTCTCTCTCTCTCTCTCTCTCTCTCTCTCTCTCTCTCTCTCTCTCTCTTCTCCTCTCCCTTCTCTCTCTATCCCTCCCTCTCCCTCTCCCTCCCTCCCTCCTTTGTCTTATTACAACATCTCTCCCTTCCATCTTCGACCCGACGGCCTCCTCGCCCCTCCCCCAATCCCCCCCACGCCTCCCCCCCCCTCCCTTCCCTCCCCTCCCTTCTCCCTCCCCCCCTCCCTCCCCCCCCTTGACACAGTAGCGGCGGGTTCACAGATAACGCGGCCTACCGTCACCACGCCTATCTCGCCCGTCATCTAAGCCCGTCACGACAAGCCCCTGTGTGTGTGTTTCGGACAAGGAGGTGGGGCGGGGGTGGGCAGGAGGGGGTGGGGAGGGAGGGGGGAGAAGTGGGGTGGGGCGAGGCTGGGGTAGGAGGTGGGGTGGGGAAGGAGGAGGAGGAGGAGGTGGGTGAAGGACGAGGAGGAGGAGGAGGAGGTTGAGGTGGTGAGGAAGGAGGGGTGAAGGAGGTGGGGTGGGGAGGGAGGAGGTGAAGGAGGTGGGGTGGGTAGGAGGTGGGTGGGGGAAGGAGGGGTGAAGAAGGTGGAAGGAGGTGGGGTGGGGAGAGAGGGGTGAAGGAAGCTAAAGGAGGGAGTGAAGGAAGCGGGCGGGGATGGAGGGACATGGGGAGTGGGCAGACAGGTGGGGATGAGGATAAGAACGAAGGTGGGAGAGGGGCAGGTGGTGGGGAGGGGAAAAGGAGGAATAGAGAGGCTGGTGGAGGTGGGGCATGAGATCAGGAAGGGGGCATGAAGGGCAAGATATTGGGGGAAGGTCGGGGAGGCGGAAAGAGATAGGTTAGGGCAATAAGGAGGGGAGAAGGGGAGAAAGTGGGGAGGGGGGAGGCCGAGGATAAAGGGTTAAGGAGTAAAGAGAGAGAAGAGGAATGAGAAAAGGGAAAGACCCTACGGCTAGGGGGAGGGGGGGGAGGAGGGCTAGGGAATGGGGAGGGGAAGAAAGACTACGGAGGGAGGAGGAGGGGGAGGGGCTAGGGGAAGGGGAAGGAAAGAAGGGTTAGGGGAGAGGGGGAGGGGGGTAGCGGTAGGGTGCGGTGGACAACTTACCAAAGCTTATTTGCTGCCCATTGTTTTTGTGTTTTTCCTGATATATTGAGATAACAAAAAGGGGACAGACGAAGGAGGGGGGGAGGAGGAGGAGGAGGAGGAGGAGGAGAAGGAGGGAGAAGGAGGAGGGAGGAGGAGGAGGAGGAGGGGAGGAGGGAGGAGGAGGAGGAGGAGGAGAGGAGAGAAGAAGAAGAAGAAGAAGAAGAAGAAGAAGAAGAAGAGAAGAAGAAGGAGGAGGAGGAGGAGGAGGAGGAGGAGGAGAGAAGAAGAGAAGAAGAAGAAGAAGAAGAAGAAGAAGAAGGAGGAGGAGGAGGAGGAGAGAAGAAGAGAAGAAGGAGGAGGAGGAAGAGAGGAGGAGGAGGAGAGACAGAAGATGGAGGCGAAGGAAAAGGAAGAAGAGGTGGAAGAGGAGGAGGAGGAGGAGACAGAGGAAAATAAGAATGTGATGTTAACGAAGAAAGAAATATGCAATTGATAACAATACAAAAACACGAAAATAAAAACCACAATACTGAAGAAGCAGACGATAACGAATAACGTGACTCAGCAAAATCAAGAGAAAGAATAATAATAATAATAATAAATAAATAAACAAAATACAAATAAACATAAATCCCAAAAAGAAGAAAGAGAAAACAAATAAACAAACTGCAAAATCAAAAGAAAAAAATAATAAAAAAAACACAGATGAAAACAAATCCCCAAAAAAGAAAAGAAAGAAAGAAAACAAATAAAACAAAAAATAAAGCAAGGTTTTAAAAAGAAGGCTACCGAACTACCACCCCTACCCTACCCCCACCCCCCACCCCACCATCCACCCACCCCTACCCCACCCACACCCACCCCACCCCACCCCCAACCCCCCACCCTCCCCCAGCGGATCGAGCGTCCCGCTGCAATCATTATTCCAACAGTCATTCGAAAAGTTATGTTATCAGATTTATCGTCATCGTGATTGTGATGTAGAGGATACCATTATTATCCCCCGGACCTGATGTGAATGGATTAAATTCGTGGTGTCGTCACTGATCTACAGGCATGTTTTATGATCCATTTCTGGATGTCCCGCGCTTTATTTCTCTCTTCTCTCGCGCGCTCTCTCTCTGGCTTTCTATCTATCTATCTATCTATCTTCTATCTATCTATCTATCTATCTATCTGTCTGTCTTCTGTCTCTCTCCCTCTCTGTATATATATATAATATATATATATATATATATATATATATATATATATATATATATATATATATTATAATATATATATATAATTATATTCATATTATAATATATATATATATATAATATATATATATATACATATATACATATAAACCAAATTAAACATACATACACAATCCTCTCTCTCTCTCTCTCTCTCTCTTTTCTTTTGGTTATCGATGATTTTATTTTTATTAGAGATTTTACGTCGTAATACCGTGACAGCACTTATTAAGAGAGCGACAAACGATAATACAAAACAACTCCAAGATGGACGAGAAAAACGTTAGGAACAGGTTATACACACCCATGCGCGGAACGTAACATACTATCGCACACACACACACGCACACACACATAAACACACACACACACTCACACACACGCACACACACACACCACACACATTCACGCGCACCACACACTTCATACACGCAAACACACACACACATACACTTACACATTGAACGCGAATACACAAAGAACAGCCCAGTACTTCGGTATACAATCCGGATCAGAAACTTGTTAAATCGATAATTCAAAAAAAAAAAAAAAAAAAAAACTTTAAAAATCTATAAATATTACATAAAAAACATATTCTTTTTCTCTTCTCTCTCTCTCTCTCTCTCTCAGAAATTTTAATCTACATTATACATTAAAAAGAGATAGAATGATAGAGATTAGGAGGAGAGGTAGGGGAAAAAGGAAAGAGAGAGGAGAGGAGAGAGAGAGAGGAGAGAGAGAGAGAGAGAGAGAGAGAGAGAAGAGATGAGAGAGAGAGAAGAGAGAGAGAGAAGTGAGAGAGAGTGAGAGTGAGTGAGTGAGTGAGTGAGTGAGTGAGAGAAAGAGAAAGAGAGAGAGAGAGAGAGAGAGAGAGAGAGAGAGAGAGAGAGAGAGAGAAGAGAGAAGAGAGAGAGAGAGAGAGAGAGAGAGAGAGAGAGAGAGAGCACAGAAAAAAAGAAAGAAGATGCGAAGAAGGAAAAATAATGAGGAAAAAAAAACAAAACTCGCATCCCCGAGGAAGCGCCGCAGCGCCCTCTCCCGAGACTCCAGAAAAATTCGACGAAGGTGGCTTTCGAAAACTTCCAGTCGTAATTAGGAATTCTAAATAGTCTACCACAAAAGCCCGATCTCCAAGATGGCGCTGATTGGCCGTAAGGGCGAGATTCCCGGGAGATCAGGCGACGGGGTGGGCCTTAGCGACCGGGTGTGGCGTGGCTGGCCAGGGCGGTCTGTCCTCGCTCGGAGATGTAAAGATAACCGGGAGTGTCAAA